CTGAAGCAGACGCAGGGTCTAAAGACTGAACCACTGGTCCACAAATTACTCCTGGACAGGAAACTTCTGCTTATTATGAAAACCTACTTTATTTCCAAGAGCTAGTCAAACGTTTTTCAGGACACGAAAGCGATATCCTATGTCTGAAAACGTAATTTTCAAGGCAAAGAAAGAGTCCGCTTGCTGCTGCGTGTTGGAGCTAGTTCATTCGCACGGAATCTCCGCGCACTCTTCTCTGCACCCCTTTCCTGCTCCTCTCCCCGCTGCCCGTTCCGCTCTTCCCCCTGCTCCTCACTTCTCCGGGCACGGAATCTCCGCACACCGCTCCCCTCTCCTCTCTCCTCTCTCCTCTCCCTGCTCCGCTCTTCTCCCTGCTCCTCACTTCTCGTCCGCGAATGAAATGTCCGCACACCCCCTCCCCCCGCTCCTCACTTCTCCGCCTTGTCTAACCAACACTGTAGTTAGTTGTTTACAAGTCATGTGCAGCTCACCGGCTGTAAACAAACCTGTTTGTGGCGTAAAGAGGAGGTGGGAGGAGGCGTTTCTACGTAGGGAGCTGTAGGGGAGGGGGGTGGTTTCACGCATGCGCAACATTTGAAAAAGGACAAACAGTCGCTGGATTTCTCGTTCCTTGGAAAATCCTCTATACAACCTTTAACCCCCGACTTTGGTCCAAGTTTGATAATGTTGACATTTCATGTCTAAGGTAGGGGCGCTATACTGTTCACTTTTCATATGTTTTATAGTTTATTATATTCAGACCAATATCCCGCATTAGTGATTCAAATTTCAGCACAATCGAACTAAGCATGTCCCTGTAATAATTTTAACAATATTTTTGGGGGATTCTTTGCGCCCCTACTGGCAAACCGTGAAAAATGCATCATGTCCGTAATAGACTTTTTTGCTTGTCATCATGCATAGAATTTAATCTCCGAATTTGGTACAAATCCGATAATGTTGACATTTCATGTCTAAAGGGGCGTTCACACCAAAGCGTCAAAAAACGCCTTGACGCCTCTATTTGGATGCATTTGCATTTGAGTTTAGATGCCCCCCACGTGCGTCTTTGACGCCGTGAACAAACGGGACAAAAATACTTGATGCGCGTCCGTTGCCCTGGAAACAAAAGCCCGGTCCCGGTCTTTTCCCGAAACAATATCAGACCAGACTGAGAGAATGTTTTTATGACATAAAAAACATCAGCGGAGGAGATCGGGTCGACGACTGGGGCGTATATATATTTATACTCCGCTAATGACACTGAATCAGTCCCGGTCTAGTCCTGGTTTGGTCCCGGTCTAGTCCTTGTTTAGTCCCGGTCGAGTCCTGGTTTAGTCCTGGTCTGGTCCTGGTGTAGTCCTCGCGATCGGCTCGGTGATTGTGGCGTATATATTTATGCTCCGCTCATGTTGGTGGTTCTCGTTCTGGTTCTCGGGTCTTGCTTCCTGATAATAGCGTCGCTGTGTCACTGGATACTCGTCCCTGATTGGTTGACGCGGCGCGTCTGACGTGAAAAGTTCAGCATTTTCAACTTCTTGACGCTGACGCTTTGGACGCGCGTCTTGGCCGCTGACGCCAAAACGCTCAAGACGCGCCGCGTCGACGCCAGATTCGCGCCGCGCTGACGCCGAAAACGCGCCGCAAAAACGCAGGACGCTCTAGTCGCGCGTCCACATAGACTTTACATAGAAAGTGGACGCTTTGACGCTTTGGTCTGAACGGGCCTTAAGGTAGGGGGCGCTATACTGTTCACTTTTCATATGTTTTATAGTTTATTATATTCAGACCAATATCCCGCATTAGTGATTCAAATTTCAGCACAATCGAACTAAGCATGTCCCTGTAATAATTTTATAAATATTCTTTGGGGGATTCTCTGTGCCCCTGCTGGCCAACCGTGAAAAATACACCATGACTGTAATAGACATTTTTGCTTATAATCATGCATAGAATTTAAAGGTTGTATGGAGGATTTTTTTTTGTTTCAAGTTGTCAATGATAGCATTATAGAGATGCAGTAGCCTTGTAATTATGATGACCAAAAAAAAGAGAATAAAAATTCATCAACTCTGGACGTGGTGGGGGCTAAACATTTGCCAATAGATAACGACACTGCCTCGTTATCTGTGAGCTGACAGGCTGTCAATCAAACTCCCTACGTTTCTAGTGTAACTGACTTGCCTGCGCCGCCGGTACATGGTTTACGTACGACTGTCACGCAGTCCACAGACGCACAGACGCTGTTTACTCCACCAACGCAACAGATCTTAGCATCTTTTTTTGACCTATATCTTCCTCGCAGTTCGCACAAAGTTTGTTGCAATAGCGACAAGAATCCAGGAGCAGTTCGCCGCAAAAGAAAGTCTGTTTTTGAGGTCGCTGAAAGAAGAAGACAAGGGGAAAAGCAGCGAAGCCAAACTAAGGTGATTCTTGTAGATTCATTCCAGCGATGGCGCGACTGAAGCAGACGCAGGGTCTAAAGACTGAACCACTGGTCCACAAATTACTCCTGGACAGGAAACTTCTGCTTATTATGAAAACGTACTTTATTTCCAAGAGTTAGTCAAACGTTTTTCAGGACACGAAAGCGATATCCTATGTCTGAAAACGTAATTTTCAAGGCAAAGAAAGAGTCCGCTTGCTGCTGCGTGTTGGAGCTAGTTCATTCGCACGGAATCTCCGCGCAACCTTCTCTGCACCCCTTTCCTGCTCCTGTCCCCGCTGCCCGTTCCGCTCTTCCCCCTGCTCCTCACTTCTCTGCGCACCGCTCCCCTCTCCTCTCTCCTCTCCCTGCTCCGCTCTTCTCCCTGCTCCTCACTTCTCGTCCGCGAACGAAATGTCCGCACACCCGCTCCTCATTTCTCCGCCTTGCCCAACCAACACTGTAGTTAGTTGTTTACAAGTCATGTGCAGCACCGGCTGTAAACAAACCTGTTTCTGGCGTAAAGAGGAGGTGGGAGGAGGCGTTTCTACGTAGGGAGCTGTAGGGGAGGGGGGGTGGTTTCACGCATGCGCAACATTTGAAAAAGGACAAACAGTCGCTGGATTTCTCGTTCCTTGGAAAATCCTCTATACAACCTTTAACCCCCGACTTTGGTCCAAGTTTGATAATGTTGACATTTCATGTCTAAGGTAGGGGCGCTATACTGTTCACTTTTCATATGTTTTATAGTTTATTATATTCAGACCAATATCCCGCATTAGTGATTCAAATTTCAGCACAATCGAACTAAGCATGTCCCTGTAATAATTTTAACAATATATTTTGGGGGATTCTTTGCGCCCCTACTGGCAAACCGTGAAAAATGCATCATGTCCGTAACAGACTTTTTTGCTTGTCATCATGCATAGAATTTAATTTCCGAATTTGGTCCAAATCCGATAATGTTGACGTTTCATGTCTATGCTAGGGGGCGCTATAGAGTTCACATTTTCATATGTTTTATAGTGTATTATAATCAGGTCAAAATCAGGCATTAGTGATTCAAATTTCAGCACGATCGGACTAAGCCTGTGTGTGTAATTATTTTTTAACTATTTTTGGGGGGAGTCTTTGCGCCCCTGCTGGCCAATGGTGGAAAATGCATCATGTCCATAATGAACTTTTTTGCTTGTAATCAAGCATAGAATTTATGCCCCGAATTTGGTACTAATCCAATAATGTTGATGTTTCACGTCTATGCTAGGGGGCGCTATAGAGTTCACTTTTATTAGATTTCATATTTCATTACATTCACACCAGCATCACGCAATTGTGATTTGAATTTGAGTTCTCTAGGACAATGCCTGTGGCCGTGACAGGCCTTCGAAAAAACAGGAAACGAAGGCGTTATTCGCCAGCGTGCTACGGGCGAACCGTAAGAAGTATCTCAAAAAAAGTTGAAAATTTCAGTGAGTTCATGTCTCTAGATGTGACATGTCAAATATGAGCTCATTTGGACCAAACCCCGGGGACTTGAATCTTTTTGTAGACACCCAAGTCAAAACGGCGGCGAATGTTTGATCCAATATGGCCGACTTCCTGTTCGTCATAGGGGTGCACAATGATTGACTTTTTCGCTTGTCTCCATGAGTTCTATCACTGTTCCGAATTTCGTGACCGTACGACAGAATTTGCCTCTCAGACTCCCATTCATCTGAAAATGTGCATTTTCTAGGGGGCGCTGTTGAGTGGGGGGCTTTGGGCATAGTCGCGATGCCCATTTTATGAAATTTTTCACCGGGCCGATCGATCGATCTGATACCCAGTTTGGGGACTTTTCGTCGATGTTTAGGCCCTCAAAATCGCGATCGTTTGCAAGGAAAAAAAAATAAAAATAAGAATTATAAGAAACCGACGAAAAACAATACCCCTCGCCACTAACTTTAGTGGCGAGGGCCAAGGGCCAATAAAAAAAAGTTTGTCATAGATCATTGACATTTGATGAACACATTCCCCACATCATACTGAACAATAAAACCAATCTCCAACCATCAACCATCAAAAATGATCTCATTGGAATGAATAGAGTAACACTTATACTATTAAATGCTGATTTTGGGAGGAGGGACAATGTGGATGTTTGTGGTGGCATGTACCTCACCGCTGGGTGGGATACATGCTTTGGTAGGTAGAGCCTATAATACCACATGCGGCTTTAATATTGTTTTAAAACTAAAGCACCACCAGCCTTCATTACAAATATGTATTTATTTTATTTTATGTGCTAAAAAAATACATTACTATTAAAAAAAAAAAAAGAAAAGAAAGAAAGAATAATTAGTTTGTTCAGGGACAATGAGAAACCAGGAAATGGATTAAATCAAAGTGTGTGTGTCTTTCCTGTAATAATCACATTTGGACAGAAAGGATCAGGTTTATTCAGACTCGAGTCGTCCCTCCTCCTCACACTGACTCATTCAGTGTTTGTGTATTTTATTCTAACTTTAGTGCAGTAAAAACAGTAATAGAACAACATCAAACTCAACTCACTTTATACAAACTTTAAATGTCTCACCTGTTTAAATGAAGCTCGAGCTGCTCTTCTTCATCAACACCACTCAAGTTTGTCCATGAGAAAAGTGAAGCACAGAGCTGAGAGTGACAGGAAAAACAGGTGCGGCTGCTGTTTTATACAAGTCAAAGCCCCTCCCACGATTCAGAAGGAAACATGACGAGGTGTTTTTTCATGTGGATGACGGCAGAAGGTGACATGAAGAGAATGTGACTAAACAAACGATAAACTGAGGAACTTAACATGTTATTTATTTGACTGAGGAGATGCTGTGTGTTCCTGTTAAACTTTTATCTGTTTTCTCTTCACAAATATTTCAGTTTTCTGTCTCCTGTTGTTTTTTTCTTCCTGTGGTGTCATGTGATGTGTGTCATGTGACTTCAACGTGCATCAAAGACGTCAAAGTGATGAAGAGTTCTACCACTATGAGCAACCTCTGCTAGAGACAGATCAAACTGAAGATTCCAAAAGTTGTTTATATTTTAAATATATCTCTAATTTTACCAGATCTTTGGCTTTTTTTGCCCCAAAAAACATGAAAATTGGAGCTGCACACACCCGTCCCATTAGGATGACACTCTCTGAATTTGACATCAGTCAGATGAGCTGTTGGAGAGTTATGCATGAAACAAACAAACAAACAAACAAACAGGACACACAGACAAACGCTTCTTGAATGAATCGATAGATTTGTTTATTACAGCTGTGCACATCTTCTATGGGTTGTGCACTATGTACTAGTAAAAACAGTATTTATGGAGGTTGGCTCAATCATGTTGTAAAACTATAACAATGTACAAAAAAAGGTCACTCAAGTGACCTCTGAGCAAAAGTGACTGCATAATTGTCTGCATAATAATGTAGTTACATTATTGTGCTTATTGTGTTTATGCAGATGTGATATTTTATCTTATCTTGTCAAAGTTCTGTTTTTAACACATCTGAGTGTTTGTCTGGACCAGAGGAAACACTCGACACTTTTGTCCTGGTTAATGCTGACAAAGTTTTCTCCTTAGTGAGACCCACCACATGCCTTTTAGATTCAATTTCCACCTCATTTTTAATTCATTTCATGGATTTAGGGATGAGCTTTAATCATGATGAACTGCTGTCTTCAGACGGGTCTTTCCCTTCAGAGCTGCAGTGCTGAGGATTCTGCTGAACAACATTTACAGTATAATTAGATTTGTCCTGATCCGATCACGTGATGGGAAATCAGCGCTGATCACGTGACTGGACTCGATCTGGACTCGGACTTTATGTTCCAATCAGGTATCAGATAAATAATATATGTATATAACACACAGGACACACAGCACACAACAGTTTTTCTGAGGCGCTGGATTTGCTCAGGGACGTCCCGTCAGCGCGTCTGTCTGTCCCAGCGTCTGTTGTACTAGAGACGCACTCACGCTGGGACTTTTGGGTCGTGTCGTGCTCGGGCGCTGTTACCTGGGGTTCTACTGATCACACACTTTACTCAAGTAGTTCAGCTCCAAACTGCACAGTGTTAGAGACAGAATACACCACTGTGACTTTTTTATTTCTGAAGTGTGTCATTGATAAACTGTAACACACATTAAAGTGTTAAATGAGCAGTGACTAAAACACAGAAAGCTTAAAGGGAGAGTGTCGCCTTCACTGTCCTGTTTGAACAGAGACATGTACAGTGTGTGGTCCTCCTGCTGGAGCCCAGAGTCTCGACTCAACACAAGATCAGAGTTTGTGGAACAGTGTGAACATGTGACACAGGCCTCTGCTCTGACTCTTTAAATTCAGACTCAAAACACTGTGTCTGACTAAAGGGTTTTTATTGTGTCACTTTAAATGACTGTGTACACATCCACATGACCTCAGCTCGTGCTGAATGTGTTTCACCAGAGCTTCTCATACTCACACTTTCATTGCCCTTGTGCTGTTTTTATGTGTGAGACAAATTTAAATTGATCAGTAAAGTGAGTCTTTCCTTCACCTTTACATCACTAAAGTGCTTCTTTAAAGTGTAATAATAAAACACAGTTGAACTGTTCAAAAGGACACAGAGCTGGGTTCTCTCCTCCTCACAGTGGAAACAGTTTTCAGTACATAAGTCCCTTTGCACGACTTTAAACTCTGTGACAACTGCACTTTATTTGTCACATGGCTCCAACTCCAGATAATTGTCTTCACGAGAAATGGACTGAACTATTTCCTCATTCACACCCATATGAGTGGAGTCTGATAGAATGTAAAACCTGTTTGTGGTTTGGATAAATAAAGAACAGAATGAACAGAATGAACAGAATGAACAGTAATTAAAAACCAGCTCCAGTGTCATCAGTGTCAGTAATTGTACTTTCCCTACGCCTATGTTCCTGTCATTAAAACTACCTTATGTAACATCACCCTCTGTCCCACCCTCTGTCCCAAACCATCTAGTGTATTCTGATTCATGATCTAGTCTCTGGAGAGAAATGAGACTGAGTGGAGTCACTAGGTGGCGCCAGCCTGAGCACCAGCCCACCTCCTGGTCATTATAAATCCAGTGTGTTACAGCAGGTAGTTGAGCAGCCCAGTAGAAGCACTAAAGGTTTGGGAGAGATACTCTGCCTCTGTCCTTTGGAGAACACAACAGTTTTAGTCTTATTCTTGGACTTTTATTTTGCCTTTTAAATTTAGAAAGAATTTTGTTTAGCTGAGTAAATGTGGACATGGAGACTCACACACGTAAAGACTCAAATAGATGTAGAAGCCTTGGCAGGATTTTCGTTTGGATGATTCTGTTTCACTGCCTCTGAAAATGGTTCGACACTCAGAGCAAACAGGACTCAGCCCATCGTCCTGCCTCGTTCCTCTACCCAGATTAAAACATTCTGGACAGAATCCATTGATTCTTACTGTCAAGTCTTTAATTAAGGAATGAAGGTCCAACTTGAAAAACCAGGAAAACAGACACAAGGCTCAACTCAGCCTGAAGATTTTTTATTGAAATTGTTCAGTTCCTTTCGTAGTGTGAGTTGTATTTGTAGTAGTAGCTGCAGCAGCAGTAGTAGGTCAAAAACCTTTAAACAAATGTCTAATAATTAAATTAAATTTACATTTCAAAATGTCATTAATAATTTAATCTATTTTAATTTTAACTAATATACTTCAGTTATAATATTTATTATTTATATATATAATTTTATATATAATATTTATTGTAATATTTATTAATATACATTTTACACATTAACTTAATAGCTACAATTTTAACCAATGTATCATTTTACCAATTCATTTTAAATCCTAAATATTACTTTTTTAAAAATACAAATTTTAAATGACTGTATGAAATAAATGTAATATATTATTTTAAGATGAATTTTAATAAATTAATAAATTGTTTTTTAATTGCTAAATATATATTTTTCAAATTAGTGCTACTTTAACTTAGTAGATTTTACACCATTTACCTTAAATATTACTATTTTAACTAAAGTTAAAAACTAATTTTACAGGTAAATTTACTCACCGGTGTCTCTGTGTTTTCCTTCACATTCCTGAGTTTGGTTTGGTTTGTGTCTCTTCACCTGAGCCTAATTAAATGATTTCAGAGACACACCTGTTTTTTCTGCTGCCATCTAATCCTATTTTTGGATTATTTTGTCTAAATTAAGGATAATCTGCCTAAGGTAAGGTTGACAGTGTTTAATGTGTTTGGTATTAAAGAATATCCATGCAGTATATTCAGCTGCTAACGGCTTTATCACCTGACAAACACGCTCCCTCTTCGTCGGGGGAGAAGTCGTGATCAAAATAGACGGTTTCTCCTCAAACATCGTTTTCTTCTGGCCCCATGCAAGTTGCAGCACATTCTCTTTAACATTAAAGTCAAGGAATCTGACAACGATGGACCCTGGAGGGACGGTAGGATCCTGGGTCTGGACACGAGCGCCCGACACGAATGTACAGACAGAAATGAGCGCGAAAAATGGAAAAAGACCAAACTGAATGTTTTTACCTCTTATGGAAAAACAAATAAAAATGACCAACAAACAGTCAAAGACACAAGAACCATATTTTATTCAAACACCATTTGTAGGAGCCTAAACCCAGTTTGGAGTATTTTCATTATTGAGATAATTATTCTTATTTTGTTTGATTTAATGTTTACTTAAAATGCATGATTTTTGGTATTTTGGTGGTTCTTTATGGTTAACTTGATTATTTGTTGATTATTTGTTACAAAGTAATTTGATCTATTTATATTTTTTCTTTAATTAATTATTGCTAATGTTAATCATAAGTTTACTTAAGTAATGTTTAATTTTTGTATTATTTTGTGGTCTACGGCTCCCTATTTAAGATGTGGGCAGGTGCACCGGGAGAGGGGTGGAGTGGAGCCAAACAGTTTTTTGACCTCCTGTCACCTACACGTTAAAGTTCCTCTTTTTGTTTGTATCTGTATGTCCTATAATGTGAATCAGCAGTAAAGAGTTTTTAAATTGCACTTGGATCGCTGTTCGTGGATTCTTTCATTTTTGATGCATTTTAAAAGGTGGAACAAGGTGTGCAAAGCGTCAACTATGGCTTCACAAATGTTTGGACCTTACATTTAGTCAAAAAACTCGCTCCACGTGGATTGTTGGACAATGGACATACTCGATAAATGGATAAGTACGAGTGGAGTATGAGCTTTCTGAACATATGGTGAATTTAACGGAGAAAACGGTGATTGTTTGGCCCATTGTTTCGCTGCTAACCGGAGCTACCCACGCTGCGGCGGCGCTGTTACGCAAGGATGGATTAAATTATTCTCGTCGCTTTTGTGGATATACTGGACATTTGTGTGGATTATTCGTTCCTTCCTAAATTGTGGATTATTATTGTGGACAAAGGACGATTAAAATGTCGGAAAATCTGGAGCAAAGTGACGGAAAGCGAGTTATTAAAATGACCGAGAAGGCTATCGAGGATCAAAGATCTAGGCATCTCAACGCACGCAAACATAAAGTGTCTCAAATATCAGGTATGATGAAACAGCTGGATGAATTAATGAAAAGTGACACTAATGCGGATATTGTAAAGAATAAATTGCGTGTAGATTATCACCGTTTGCACGAAGAACTTTGTGACATAAATATGGG